GGGGGGTAAGAGACCAACCAAAGGACTTGTATGCATGCATATGAGCATAACCAATGGACACAGACACTAGGGGTGTGAGGGCATGTGCTAGGGGGCGGGAGTGGCCGGGGAGAGGTCAAAGGGGGGAAAAGGAGACTATGTAATACTTTAAACAATAAATAAAAAATAATAAAATGGATAAAACAAACAAAAAAGAAATATGGTCTCCTCAGGAGACAGCATTATATTCTAAGGTAATGGTTCTCAAACTTGTTTTAGTCCAAGGACCCCTTTTTACTCTTAACAATTATTAAGGACCCAAAGAGCTTTCATTTATGTGGATTATATGTATCAGTATTTCTCATGTTAGCAATTAAAAATAAGAAAAGTTTTCAACTATGATTTCAAAACAAGTTAACAAAATATACTTCTTGTATTTTTGCAAAGATGCAAGGAGAAAGCTGGGATTTCAAAAATGATTAAGTGAATGATAAAGACAGCAGGTAAAACAGAAAAACAAAAGCATGTTAAGAGCACAGAAGTACGGAGAACAGTCTCTGAAAATGCACATATGTGTTTCTTAAACCAACTACCTTAGAAAGCTCTAGAAAACACAAGAATACACCAGCACATATTCCATTAGCCCTGGCAATGGAATGGATGTCATCATACGTCAGGTAGCCTCCATAAAACTCACTGTGTACCTGTGAGAGGATGAAAGGTAAAAAGGCAAACCATGTCTTTTTTATGAAGATAGTTTGACCCTGCAGACACACTGAAAGGGCATTAGAGACCCCCCCACACTTTGAAAATCGCTCTTCAAGGAATGGATCTAGGGGAAGGGGGGAAACTTTAAGAAACACTTGTATTCATAGCATAAGTATTGCATTTCATTAAGCTGATGAAAAGCGTGTTGGAATAAGCTTTTTTAAATTAACTTTGCTGTGATGCTGAATTAGAGCATGACACTTAACTAGATTGAATTTTCAAATTTCCAATTTGATACAGTAGCAAGAAAGTAAGCAAATACAATGAGCTTTAGAGGCAGTTTTCAGCACGTTCTCTAAGGCGGGTAACATATTTTCATCAAAATTATATTTATCTTAGAAAACCACTATGTATTGGAGGTTGGTAAGGAGCAGCGGTGGATGAGAGAGGATGTTCATGTGTAAGTTAGATGTAATAATTGAGAGGTCTAGAAGCCACATGAAGATAAGTAATTGCATATATCCAAGTCCATGGAGTCAGAGAAGTGGTGGAGGACATCCTGCATGTATTGAGATAACTCCTGTGTGTTTTCATTTTGATGCAGAAAGAACGGGCAGGATGCTCTTTCCACAGGAGGCTCTTAGAGGCATGTAAGGATTGGTAGGCAAGAATCGGGCCCAGGGGAAAGGGTCAGGAGTGGATTTAAAGGGCTAGAGCAGAGGGCAGAGTATTGTGATGGGTGGACTGGATAGAAGAGGGCCTTAGAATCGAGAGAGCTCTTGAGAACGGAAATATCCCGCTAAGATAGGTCTCTAGAGTTGGCAATAGCAACATTTTCTCCAGGACTTCTAAATCCAACAGAGGGCACTTTTCTTACACCGATTCTCTGTGTAAATTGACCTACTTAAAAAAATGCCAGGTGTATATTCTGAGGTTATTCAGTATTTTAGCCATATTTTCATCAAAATTATATTTATCTTAGAAAACCACAATGTATTGGAGGTTGGTAAGGAGCAGCGGTGGGTGAGAGAGGATGTTCATGTGTAAGTTAGAGGTAATAATTGAGAGGTCTAGAAGCCACGTGAAGATAAGTAATTGCATATATCCAAGTCCATGGAGTCAGAGAAGTGGTGGAGGACATCCTGCATGTATTGAGATAACTCCTGTGTGTTTTCATTTTGATGCAGAAAGAACGGGCAGGATGCTCTTTCCACAGGAGGCTCTTAGAGGCATGTAAGGATTGGTAGGCAAGAATCGGGCCCAGGGGAAAGGGTCAGGAGTGGATTTAAAGGGCTAGAGCAGAGGGCAGAGTATTGTGATGGGTGGACTGGATAGAAGAGGGCCTTAGAATCGAGAGAGCTCTTGAGAACGGAAATATCCCGCTAAGATAGGGCTCCAGAGTTGGCAATAGCAACATTTCCTCCAGGACTTGTAAATTCAACAGAGGGTGCTTTTCTCACACTGATTCTCTGTGTAAATTGACGTACTTAAAAAATGCCAGGTGTATATTCTGAGGTTATTCAGTATTTTAGCCTCTCTTATAGAAGCAGTTTATAAAGTATGTTCTAGAGAATACTTTTGATGGACAGAGATTTTTCAAAAGTCGAAATTGTGTTCAAATTGATAATTTGTAAGAATTAATAGAATGTGTACTTTGATCACTGCCATAAATGAAGTTGTCATATTGTTAGTAAACTAAAAAAATTAAAAATAAATTATATTAAATTAAAAGTCCAGGTATAAATCAATACACTTCTGTTACAAATCAGGTGACTTGAAAATACAATTAACCTAATAATATGCAATAGGATTAACTTGGACAAATACTGCTTAAAAATAAAATGATTTGTTTTAATTACATAAGTACCATTCATTTACCAAGGTCCCAGCTAGTCTAGTATTTTCTAATACTTGGGATTACATTTTGCTGCACTACACTTTGAGGAGAACGGAACAAATGTAAAGATGGACTCATGTAAGCATTTGCTTTTTAAATCAACCAAATTGCATAGCCTGTTGTCAGCCATTTATCCATCCAGCACATGTCTGTTACCTACAACAGTCAATATACTGTAAGTCATTGTGGAGATATAAAATGAGAAAAACATCACATTTGCCCACATATGCTATAATACTGGGATGGGTGGGAGTAATTAGGCCCATAAGAGAGTTTAGAGAAGGAAAAGGTCCTCTCCTAGTTGATAAAATAATAACAATAATAGCTAATTATTGAGTTCTCATTATATGCTAGTACCTGTTGTCAAGGTTTTACTCATACCATCTTATTCAAATTTCCTGACAATCCTGGAAGGAAGTACAAGTATCCCCACTGTGTAGCTGAGGAGACAGAATAACTTACCCGAAGTCACACAGCCAATGAGGGGACTCCAACCAGGAGACTCAGGCTTGGAAGCTGGTGTGCATGGCCACCACTTCACTGGGACTCCCTGAAGCGGGTGATATTTGAGGTTGGTCCTGAGAGGCAAGCAATCAGTTTCCACTTCTAAAATGGAGATAATGGCTGTACTTCCTTCATGGGATTGTTATGAGGATGAAATGATGTTTTCAAAGTAAAATGCTTAGAACAGGACCTGGGAACATGGGCATTAGCTATTATTGTCACTATTAGTATTATTAAGCCCTGATGATGCGAGAGGTCTTCCAGTCACGGTATATCTTCCTGAGTGTGCTAGATGGGAGTGGCTGAGGCCACTAAAATGCTCTGTAGAGAGAGAGCAAAAAAGTAAGGAAACAATGATGGGAAAACACATCTTCTCCAGCAGATGTCCCTTGATTGCCCTAAGTGGGTCTGGTCTGTGCACTTACCCATGTCTCCTCCCACCAATGTTGAGTTGGCCTATTTCCTGTCCCATTAGGGTCCATTTTGTCCCATTATGGATTTAGAATCTCAGTAGGTACCCCGAATATAATAGCATCACAAAAAAGTGGCTGGCCTCCAGTGGAGAGGGAGGTAGTGGTAGTGCTGGGCTAGGCAGCAGTGTTGGCTGAATGGCAGGAAAAGCCCTTCAGTAGTTTGCAGGCTCTGAGGGGGCCACAGAGACCTCAGAGAGGATCAAGGCAGTAGGAGTGACTGGGCACAGGTAAGTAGGCTTATATGTCTATGTGTGTGTGTTTTTTCCTAGTGTGAAAAGAGGATGTTAACCTCAGAAAGGTAACCATCTATGCTAAGTAATTAACATGAGTTGGCCAGGTCCTTTCGCAGGTCTCCTGTCTTTCATTGGAGTATTTCCTGTCTCTTCACAGCCCCTCGACCAGTGGTTCTCAACCTTGGCTGCATGTTAGAATCACCTGGGAATCTTTTTAAAATCCCGAATTCTGGGCCTCATCCTCCGGAAATTCTGTTTCTTTGTTACTAATGTGTGGCCCCACCCCATAACAAAGAAACAGAATTTCCGGAGGATGAGGCCCAGAAATCAGGATTTTAAAAAGATTCCCAGGTGATTCTAATGTGCAGCCAAGGTTGAGAGCCACTGCCCTAGACGCTGCTATTTCATTGATGTCTCCGTATGTGTGACATTTCACAAGGGTGACTTATTTCTGAATTGACTAATAAGAGAGGATAGGGCCCTGGCCAGTTTGGCTCAGAGAATAGAGCCTCAGCCTGCGGACTGAAGGGTCTCGGGTTCAATTCCAGTCAAGGGCACATGCCCAGGTTGTGGGCTCGATCCCAGTAGGGGGTGTTGCAGGAGGCAGCCGATCAATGATTCTCTCTCATCCTCGATGTTTCTATCCCTCCATTTCTGAAATCAATAAAAATATAGGTTTTTTTAAAAAAAAAGAGAGAGAGGATAGGAATTAGGCAGACGAAAGAAAGGAGCTCCCTTTCCCTTCCTTTCTGAAATCAATAAAAATATAGGGGTTTTTTTTTGTTTTTTTTTTGTTTTTTAAGAGAGAGGATAGGAAGTAGGTAGAAGAAAGGAAAACTGAAGGGAATATGGGAGGAGAACCTCAGTATTTATGGACATGTTTGTAAAAGATTCAGTGGACTGGATTAGTCCCACCTCAGCTCCTCCTCTGCGGGGCCAGGCAGGGACCTAGAAACTCCCATGCTCACAGCAGGTAGAACAGCCTCTAGGGCAGTGGTTCTCAACCTGTGGGTCGCTACCCCTTTAAGGGTCGAACGACCCTTTCACAGGGGTCGCCTAAGACCATCGGAAAACACATATATAATTACATATTGTTTTTGTGATTAATCACTATGCTTTAATTATGTTCAATTTGTAACAATGAAATTGGGGGTCACCACAACACAACATGAGGAACTGTATTAAAGGGTCGCGGCATTAGGAAGGTTGAGAACCACAGCTCTAGGGACTTAGACCGGGACTCCCAGGAGTCCCCACTTCCACTGAGCCTCCCATGTTGGCTCTGCACCTGCCAGCCTCCTCACTTGCACCCATCAGCTGCAGTACATTTGCCCCAAAATGCATATTCCAAGCCGAGCTGCCATATTCTTACAGAAAAGTGATGTATCCTGATTGAAATAGGTGAATGTATTGCTGCCATCTACCTTTCAACATTATAATGGATATATTTTCCCTTTAAAACAGTATCGTGCTTACTATGGAGCATTTAAAGCTGTCACCAAGAAAAACAGAACTTCTGAAGAAGCCGGAGACCTCAGTGCCTTGCGTTTTATATCCGTGATCTCAATTGTGGACCCTTGGATTTTCATCATTTTCAGGACATCAGTATTTCGGATGTTTTTTCACAAGATGTTCATAAGGCCGCTTACGTATAGAAATAGGCACATCAATGCCTGCCAAACTCAGATGGCAAGTCTTACAGTCTCCGGTAAGCTGAGGAACGTATCACATTTACCACCAAAGACCCATGCTAAAAACAACTCTTCCATTTAAATCCTCCAAAGTTTTCTCCCATAACAAAACATCTAAATGTGTTTTCAAAAGTATTTGCTATCTTAAGGCATTGTTACTCTAGTATATACTTGAACCAGTTAGGTACATTTTCTTTTTCATTTCAAGGTATTAATAGTGACTAGATTTTAAATATTGTGAACAATGTTAAAAGTTTTAAAGCAATGATATTAATTGTTCCAACATTTGTATTTGGTGTCCCTCATTTTCTAGAGAGGTCTTGAGACGGCTGGGTCTAAACCCAGTAGAAACACCACTGTTTACAGTTATGTGATGGGCGTTCTTAAAATTCCTTATTCATTTCTAGTGAAGCCTGCTTTTTCATTGTGTATCACAATTACCCATTTATTATTATTTTTCCAACTGATCTAAGTATGTCTGTATTATAGATGTTCCTCAGAGAAGTGCGATGGGAAATACAGCCAAGTCAGGGGTTTGGAGAGGCGAAGCTATAAATAAGTAGGTTTAAGGCAAGATGTGACTATGCCCACTACCCAGAGAAGAAAAATTAATGTTTATCGTTTGAAGTGCAGTTTCCTGTGTATTGAAGCAGGGATATCAGTAGGAATCAAAATTTGGGAGTGGCTACAAAATACTGTTTCAATTTTTGCTACCTGCATTTTATAGGTTTATCATATTAATGGATGTTGGGGAGGAAGGATTTATGCTTCTTTGAAAGCAGTGATGTGAGAATTTCCAGAGAGCCAAGTAGAGCTGAGCCATGTTTACTCCCTGTGGTTGTGCGAAGCCGCAGGGCATTCAGCAGAGCGAAAAGCCCGCCCAGGACTCAGTCAACCTCAGCTGAGGGTGGTGGCAGGGACCTTAACATCTACCTATTGACAGCCGCATTCTGCTCTTTGTGGAAACAGTAAGATCTTGTGGAGGTTCCGGAGAGCTCTGCACATTTAAAACGAGCAGGATGGGCTCAGATGGAGCACAGCTGAGCACTTTAATTGTACATTAAATGTTTACAAAGGTTAGCAACACTATGAAAAAGGAACAAGAGGGGAAGATACGCTGCAGCTGTTAAACTAAACAAGCACACAGGTAAAAGCTTTTACCTTTGGTGAAAAAAACAGATGGGGGACATTCGGGCATTTTCAGCATCTCCAGAGTCCCTTGGTACCCTGACACACGCAGACTCTGAGATGGAGAGCCGGCTGCCCTTGAACAGACCCAAGACGCCGGGTCAGCCATCCCTTCCAAAGACAAGAGCATTGGACTTATTGCCAACAGAGCAGCAACCCCACTTTGCACCTTTGGTTTATATCAGTGATGATATTAACCTGGATACGTGTGTGCGTGCGTGTGTGTGTGTGTGTGTGTGTGTGTGTGTGTGTAGCAACACTGTGAAATGGCCAATTAGGAATACCTGAATTATAATTTTGGGAGTATGATGGGGTGAAAAATGCAGTCATTTTCAACGTTTAATTTTCATTTGTATATTTAATATGTGAGTACATACGTGTTTTATTGTGGAGGAAGTGAAGTTTTTTGTGTTCTCCTTTTGGAAGGTGTGTTGTGATCATTGTCAAGGTCACCTGAAAAGGTCACAGATGAATCAATAAACATCTTTATAATATTTTGCAGAGGAAATTGCTTTTCTTCTAAAAAAGAAAGAGATTTTGTTTTCTTTTTTGCATAAACAATTCCAGGAGTACTTCTTTCTTTAGCAGGTTAATGGGCTGTTTTACCAGCATTTATATTACTTTAAATAAGTCAGCATAATGACCCTTTCTCTACAAAATGGAGATAAGCTACCCTGATGACATTCATGTTAAGTTAAAAATCAACACCTCCTTGATCTTCATTGATTTAGTCATTGACACGTACATTGTACCAGGTTTAGTGCTGAGGAAAAGAACACATTTGACTCAGAGCTGGCCCAGGAGCCATGGGGGACACAGACGCGTACAATTACAGTAGAGGGTAGAACTCCCAATAGCGAATGTGCACACAGAGCTATTAGAAGAGGAAGCCTTGACTAAGGGGGACATGAAGCGCTGTCAGAGCTTCTCAGTGAGAAGATGCTAAGGCAAGAATTGAAAATGAGTAGGAATTTTGACTCCAGTTCAAAACTGGACAATGGACACAAAGCTGTGACTTACACAAGAGGCGATATGTATGGTTAATAAATGTAGAAAAATGTCCTGCCTAATCAGAAAAGTGTGAAATTAAAATCAAATTCTCAAGGACCAAACGAAGTATGACTCTCAATAACAGAGGCTCTGATGAAGTAAGAGCAACATGAATATTCCCCTGGTGAGTTTGTCAGTGTGTCCACCTATTCTTGATAGCAACCTGACAGTACAGTGGGGCCTTGACTTACGAGTTTAATTCGTTCCGAGACCGAGCTAGTTAAGGAGCTCATTAAGGAGCTCGTTAACTCAAATTACTCTGTCAACTCAATGCAAAAAATCGGTGGAGAGACAGCTGGTATCTCAAAAAACTCGTTAGTCGGGACACTCGTAAGTCAAGGCCCCACTGTATAGATCAAGAGCCTAAAAGTGTAATTTTCTACTGTTCCGGTAACCCCAACTTAGAATTCTCTCCCAGAAAACTATCAGAGGGGTGGGCACAGTTATGTACAAAACCTCATTTACAATAGTTAAGATTTGGAAACAGCCTAAGTGCCCATCAGCAGATGAGTGGATTAAAAAACTGTGGTACATCTACACAATGGAATACTATGCTGCCGCGAAAAAGAAAGAACTCTTACTGTTTGCAACAGCATGGATAGACCTGGAGAGCATTATGCTAAGTAAAATAAGCCAGTCAGAAAAAGGTAAGTATCACATGATCTCACTCACTTGTGGAATATAATGAACAACAAAACTCTTCTTTGTAGCATTATATATAGTAGCACAAAAAATGAAAAGGAAACCATCTAAACGGCCAAAGCAAAGGTTAAACAAACTCTTTAGAAATATCATACACACACACAAACATATATGAACGTTATACAGCCATTAAAGAATGTTTTCAACTCATTTATGAAAAATGAGAAGAAAGCTTATAGTGCAATAGTAGGTGAAAAAAAAGCATGATACAAACTGAATATGATCCATAAAAGTACATATGTAGAAAATACCTTGAAAAAATAAATGAAAGTGTGAACCAGTTACCTTTTTTTATGAATATATTTTACATAATTCTTTGTATTTTCCAGGTTTAAAAATAAATCCATATTTCTTTTACATGAAATTATTTTTCCTCCCTCCTACCCCCCCCCAAAATTAATTTTTAAAAGAATGAATAGAAATGGGCTGAGCAAACAAAGGGGAAAAGGCACGAAGGAAAGCTCTCCAGTCTAAGGAATGGTGTGTGCAAAGCCACAGAGGCATAAAGGAGAAGGCCGTATCCAGGCTCCGTTAGTAACTCCATTGGCAGGGATTTGGGATTATGAGCAAAGGAGGCTGGCAAAGAAGCTGAAAACAGAGGCAAGTTTCCCATCATAAAGGGTGTTGGGTGCAGCAGGGAAGGGCTGCAGCTCTGTGAGGCCTGGATATGCACTGCAGACTGTGAAGCCAGGGTGCAATCAGAACGGAGGTTGCGGAAGATCATACTGGTGGCCCGGATTGTGGACGGGGCAGGTGGGGGCGCCAGATGGTGGGTGTAGATGTGCTGGGCCCTGTGCAACTATGTGCAGTCAGTGCACTAGACCAGGGCGCTGACTAAAGAAGTGAGTGGGACCCAAGTACAGCCCTGGTTCTGCTTTCCTGGCTGTGGGCTGCATCAGCTCGGAGGAAAGTGCCCCTTTTTATGACCTTTCTATTTGGAGGGGCACAAAGACCCCGAATATGCAGGCCCCGGAGTGCCCTCCTGCAAGGGAGGGAAAGAGGCGAGGAGCTGCTGAATTCAAGCAGTGGGAGGGAGGGATGGGTCGCACAGCTTTAGTAGGTACAGCTGATGGGAAGGATTCCAGCTTGTGATGACTCCGTCATGCCTTTTGTTCCTTCAGTTGCATTGATTTAACAATTTCCTGCTTCTTAGTTTCAAAGTTTCAATATATCCAGAAACAAGTTAGGAAAGGAAAAGATTCTGAAAAAACTCCCATTTCCCTCAGTGTATCTGAACAAAAGATTGCAGCACTGAATCCAGGGACGTTTCTGGGTCATCTCTGGACTTTAATTATAATACTACCCAGCCAAGTGCATAAGGGCCAACTATTAGGAAGGTTCACTTTGTTCAGAAATCCATCAAAGGCGACTGGGCCAGGCACTACTGAAACTTTAGGGGAGAGAAGGAATCCCAGAAATGCCAAGATGACCCCAGAACTCACCAGCCATGCAGCCTCCTAGCTCATGGTCTCCAGGCTCCAGCCCAGCGCTTCTCCAAGCCCGTGGTCTGGACCAGCATCACCTGGAACTTGTTAGAAATGTAGAGTCTCCGGCCCCACCCAGACCCACTGGATCAGAATCTCTGGGGGTGGGGCCGGCAAGCTGTGTTTTAACAAGCCCTCCAGGTGATTCTCATGCCAATTAAAGTTTGAGAACCACTGATCCATGGGAAAAAAAAAAAGCCAAGAAAATAAAATATGCAATAGACTCCATTTATAATGTTTCTCTGCTCTCTGGATCTCAGATCTAATCACTCACACCTGACTCCCTCTATTCTATTCAACTATTTTTCTCCTTTTCCCCCTAACAACTAACATGTACTGGAAACATGTTATAAATATACTAGAGGCCCAGTGCACGAAATTCACGTGGGGGGGGGCGGGGGAGGGCCTCAGCCCGGCCTGCACCCTTTCGTAATCCGGGACCCCTCAGGGGATGTCCAACTGCTGGATGTCCTGATGTCTGTTCCATGTTTCCATGCCTGTGCGTTGAGTGTCTGCCCCCTGGTGATAATTTTGTCATATATAAAAGCCTAAGCGACCGTTACAGCCACATGACCTGAATGACTGGTCAACCAGTCACTATGATGCACACTGATCACCAGGGAGAAGATGCTCAATGCAGGAGCTGCCCCCTGGTGGTCAGTGCACTCCCGCAGCCAGCCTCCCAAGACCGGCCGGTGGCATCAGCATCCAGTGTCTGTTCCTTCTGTGCTCAGCCCAGCAACTGTCGCCTCCTCTCCTGACCCCTCCAAGGCCTTTGGCCCTGGGCTGGGATGGGGAACCGGGGGTGGGTGGCAGCTGACACGGCCCCTTTCCCAGGGGGGCCGAGGGCCGGCTTCCCCCTCAGGGCCAGTGGCCAACCTCCTGCGCACCCTGTCCCTCCTCCGGCTGGCAAGCCCTGATAGGCCTGTGGTCCCTCCCCGAGCCCTCCTGCCACAGCTGACACGGCCCCTTTCCCAGGGGGGCCGAGGGCCAGCTTCCCCCTCAGGGCCAGTGGCCAACCTCCTGCGTGCCCTGTCCCTCCCTCTGGCTGGCAAGCCCCGATAGGCCCGTGGTCCCTCCCCCGGCCCTCCTGCCGACCAACAGCCCCAATCAGCCTGGCCCTGATCAGCCTTGGGTGCCGGCCAGGCCTAGGGGCCCCACCTGTGCACGAATTCGTACACCGGGCCTCTACTATACTAGTACATATATTGAATAAAAGGTGTTCTCTTCCATAATCTCCCCCAAACATAAGTATCTCCATTAAGAGGCTATAACTTGGACAGGGAGTCCTCTGTATCTGATGAGGAATGTAAGGATTTTTTCTTAGGCCATCCAAAGGTGAAAATAGTAAATGCAGGAGGGAATATTCTTGTTCCATATTTATCCCTACTGTCCTAGAAATTATGGAAATTAACTTGCTTCGATTCTATCCAGGAAATAGCAATTCACAATTAACCATGTAAAAAGTTTGTTTACTAGGCGATTTTAACGTTGTTAAAACAACCTTATCTTACTGGAGCGGAGTGTTTGGTTCCCTCTCCTGTAACTCCGTTCATGAGTGAGGCTGGAATTGCCATTCTGGGTATTTCCAGGACAGCTTCTAGGTGGAGGAAAGCTGAGCTTACAGGTAAGGGGTGGGACTGGAATTAGGGCTTGCTCTCCCTGCCTTTCCACAATTGCCTCACTCAAGGTGAAGTTTTCAATCTTCCAGACCAGCGGTAGCCAACCTTTCAGACTTCACGGACCACTGGTTGGCGACCGCTGTTCCAGACAATTTTTAAAAACTGCATGTAGTCAGGAGAAGGTGTTTAGAATCCATCATGCTCTGGTTACATATATTCTGTATATGGGAGAAGAACTTAATTTTTTTTCTTTTTGCTACCTAAATGCTAAAAACAGTAAGAACAATAAAGCACAGTCAAGTCAAATCTGGTAAGAAAGTATATTTTAAAGTCAAGGTCATCGGACCTTATAATGGTTCATAGAAAGTATTTAGAATCCAATTGGAAACACAAGACAAATTAGAAGTTAAAAATAATATAATGTCATGCAAATGTTACCAAGTGCTACAGTATGGTCTTAGATTTTAATGCAGCAAAGCTCCAAATCAAAGATAATTATTTAGGACTAGTCTTATAGTGCATTGTATAGACACCTGGGCAAACAAAGAAGTTCGTAGCTTATCAACATCAATTTCTTATCAGTACAAAATAAGGTATAGAAAAAGTAAGTGCCATTCAACACAATTTATAATGAACTG